CTCCCAGAGTATATCTATTAGGTTAGCATAGTACAGATTTAGTCTGGCAAGATTCTGTCTAAATGATGTAAGCAACCCAAGAACTGAACTTGGCTGGATTGTTTCCCTGTTGTTCTTGGACTGGCCCTGACACCACATCTCCTGCTGCTTGACTAGCCAACAGAAGAGCAACCATTCGCAAGACCCACAAAGCCTTGCCCATTCTTTCCCCACACAAGGACCACAGAATATCAAACATTTCCTGGAGAAAGTTGATGGGGACTCTGTATTTACAAAATGAGAAGTTTTGATCCAGGTAGTGTGAGGGGGTACTACCAGAACTTCTTGCAAGGGTTAGGGATGACCAGGTCAAAATTTCAGTCCATTTCTTTAGAAATAAAGTACTTGACCTACCTTGAAGTTCTGAACTGAGGATCCTAGCTATTCTCCTCATTGTCTTCATCATCCTCTAGATTCTCCAAGATTTCTTCTAAAAAGGCTGTCCGCTGCTTCTTGACTGGGGGATCTGTGTAAGATGAAGTGACACTGCTGAGTGGAAGTGGCAGAACACCGTTTCTTCCTGTCCCCCAAGCCAGTTAACACCAAAAATGTCTTATCGGAGAGGCGTTCCTGACTCACAATGCCTCTTTGCCCTGAGTGGTTCTTTAGGGTTCCTGGCAATGTGGGCAATAGAAAGGAACTGTAAGAGCTGTACTGCAGAGTATCTGGAGGACGAAGATGGCTACATCTATTGTAACTCATCGCTGGATCTCTACGTTCCCCCTCCCGATCCAATCATTCATTAGTTGGCTTGAGCTGACCATTTCTCATGCACATCACCATGTTTACATGCACCCAACGGTATTGATTTTTTTTTTTTAAATGCAGCCATGGGCCAGACAGGTGAGCTCCTATAAGTTCCACTGCAACATGGAATGCAGCTGCTTAGAGAACCAGAGAGGGTTTCTCACCAAAACGCTCTATTCCATCATTCTAGTCATCATTTCCACCAATCCCCCATCCTAAACAGATGCTTGGATTGCTATGATAGAGAACAGACTCCATCCCAATGGGGTGTGTTTAATCCCACCTTCCTTTGTCATTCTGTAAGCATGGAGGCTCCTCCAATCACCTCCCCTCCTGGGCACGTAGGACACCACTTAGACTACATGAGAATCCAAACTGGGAGAACGTTTATTATCCATATATATATATATAACTTATACGAGCACATGCCCTAGGGAGATACCACCAACCAGATTTGAAGAGTCAACTGGAGATAGGGTCTCCACAAGAACAAAAAGCACCCACTTTAGACTCCAGGAAGGTTTCCCAGCAATGCAGAAGGGCCACAATTAAAAAGGTCCATGACCATCCCATGACATCACGGAGGTCATCTAATCTCATAAGCTGAGGTGGGGGAGAAGCCAGCTCACCCCACATCTACCTTTGGCCCCTTTCCATACATTTTATACAGCTCTCTTGTTATTGCCCAGGCTTGAAAAAAGTCACGAGTGAATTAGGGGAGACCGCTGAACTCATTCTTCCCCTGATATCGGTGGGGGAAAGTAACACTTCCCCTCCTGTACTTTTCCTCATTTTAGAAAGCAGTTCTCCATGTGGAGAACAGCTGTTCAAATCCCGATCTTACCCATCAAAACTCCCATCTCAGACAAACAAATAAATGTACTTGCAGGACTCGGGGAAAGGGTGTAAAATAAACAGATAGAACAAGCTGCTGCATTTTCTCCTAGCATTACAGCTGCTTCCAAAGATAAACAAGAAGTAAATGTCAGAAAACATCAATACAAGGGAAATTAACCTGACAAGAGCTGCGCCCCCTCCCCTCCCCCAAATCCTCTTGCTTCTCCATCCCCAACCAAGCAGTTCTGCATTTTGGGAACCTACCCCTCACCCAATGATTTTATTTTTCAATTAATTCTTTGACAGAAAGCCAGGATGGTAGTATTTCTGCTTCTGTACTTTTATGATTGTCGAGGGAGGCGGAAGGAAAAAAAAAATGGGGGGGGGGTAGAAAAAGCCAGGAACACCCTTAATCTCCCCCCACCCACATACAGCTTCATCCGTGAGCCAAGAACCAGAACTTTGGAGAGAAAGCAAGCCAAATTGTTGAGAGAAGGAGATCTGAACTGAGTTCAGAAGACTGTTATTACATCTCTTGATTAATATTTAAAGGAATGCATAATCCTCTAGGTTTCTCTTTTCCCTCCCTTAAACAGCAAAAATGTTCTTATCTAGACTAGGTACAAAGTTTAGCATATTTAGAAGAAACTGTCTAAAGGTTGCGCTTTCTTCTCACCTGCATTTCTTTGCCCCATCCTCTCCATCATCCACCTTGATTGATCAGACATCAGTAGCTGGTGGGAGCAACACATTAAACTAGACTACTGTTTCCCAACCTTGCCAATTTCCAGGTGTGTGGACTTCAAATTCCAGAATTCCACAGCCAGCATGGCCATTGATGAGAATTCTGGGGTTTGAAGTCCCCACACCTGGAAATTTGAAAGGTTGGGAAACACTGGACTAGACTAACATGAGCTTGGGAACTTTATGGCCCAGCATATTGTGGGACCCCACCCCTGTGTTAGGAAGGGGTATAAATCAGGGCTATCACGTAAAGATATCATATAAAGTTCTACTTCATAAAGTTATAATATGAAGTATTGTGTACAAAATTGGGCACATTTTCAGAATATTAATAGGTTAGAACAGGTTCAGAGGAGGACAACAGTGATAATCCAGAGACTTGAGGACGTGTTATATGAGGACAGACTGAAAAACTTGTGATGTTAACTCTGAAGAAAAGGAGATTTGATATCAGTGTTCAGCTATGTAAAAGGTGGCCTTGGGAAGATGTTCAGGGATCAGAAATAATGGGTATTAGTTGCAGCCACCTAGCTGGTCTACAAGCTAAGATCAACAACAACTTCCTTAAAATTAAAAAAAAAAATTAGTTGGGATCACTGTGAAGGGAATAAGAAAAATTACCTCCCTCATCCTATTCCAATCCTATCTCAGTTGATTGATTATGAGCTATTGAGTCAGTGTTGACTCTTTGTAACCCATCATAATCAATCAATCAATCAATCAATCAATCAATCAATCAATCAATCATCCTATCCCAAACTTTATTTGAGCTTCAGGAGATAAAGAAGTTAATATCTACTCTGCAGTAGTTTTGGGCTGGGTTAAGAGAACACACTGAACCAAAATTAACCAACCGCACTTTAGCCTAGTACTTTGTACAAATCCAACTTCTGGGCTTGCCTGATGCTTTAGAGTTGTGCAAACCCTACTGACATGAATTCGTTTGTAAGTCTTGGTTTGGTCTGATGCTAAAGAGCACCTCCTCTGTGGCCAGTAAGAGTCCTTGCCATTGAAAAAATGACCCAGAAGGAGAACCTCTTCTCCTCCTTGGTCTGAACCTTCTCACAACTTCAATGACAGCAGAAAATCCTTGCTATGGATCTCCACCAAGTCTGACCAGCCGATAAAGCCACCCCCCAACCTTTCTGGAACTTTTAGCTTAGATCAACAAAAGAATTTCGTACAGATCCCAAGGAAAAAAAAGCCGTCGATTGCTTTTCTTTTACTGTAGCATTTTGCATTTTCGCTAAACACTGCTTAGTTTCTTTTCTTAGCAATTACTAGGTAGCCAGAAAGAGCAAGGGTAAGGTAGGGTAGGGATGTAAGAAAGAAAGAAGCTGACACATTTGTGTGGTCCCAAAAGTGAAGGCTTCAAGAATCCAATAACACACGACGAAGCAAAATAAAATAAGGTGGGGGGTTGATAAAGGCTGTTCACTAATACACTACTCAGCACTGGCCTGATTCAGAGTCAGAAAAGGCAGTGGCAGAACTTTGCTAATTTCACATAAGAAGGTGGTACAGCCATCTACGTAGTGCTGAAACTACACCAGAAATGGATACCCAGCATCTTGTAGGCTTCATGAAGCCCATCTTCTCCATACATCCTCCACCCACGATTTTCAAGACCACATTGCCAAATTTTGTCAGTGGATTAAAAGCAGGGTGACTTTTCAGCTAGAAATAACTCACTCAAAGCAAAACTGGTGTATTAAGCTTTGGTTAGGCTTAACAAACATGAAAAGATAAATATTCGCTCGAGTTGAGCTGGCAACTGCACAGAATGGTTTCTCCCAGTATTATTATTATTGTTATTACTATTATTGGCTTCCTAGTCTAGTCTACTGCCCAGAATTCCCTAGTGGTCTCTTACCCAACTACTAGCCGAGCCCAACGTTCCTTAGTTTCTGACTGAAACAAGGTCCTAATGGATATAGAAATACTGATTTCAAAAAAGGAACTCGACTCACCCCTCCGGCCAACTACCCAGAGTAGTTGGGAGTTGGGCGGAAAACATGTTTAAATAATAAATAATAATTTAAGTTGATTTAATATAGCTACCCACTCCAGAAGACTCTAAGCAGCTTGCAAAATCCATAAAAAGTAAACAATTAAAACCCACATAACTAGGCAGTCCAGACTAAAACAAGAAATAGTACAAAAAACAGGACAATGGCTTGACCAATGGATCACACCCACGTTAACCCCAGGCCTGGGAAATTAATAATAATAATAACAATATTCTGCGATGTTACCTTTAACACCATCAAGCAACAACATCTGCCTATCCCAGGTCCTTGGGAAGGACTCGATAGGTGGACAAAAATGCCAAACCCAGGCTAAACATCTGATTGTGTGACCAACCATTAATAATAATGTAACCTGTTCCTGCCCTGTCCATTGCTACTGAAGTTCTCCAACCTTGAGTTCCCACTCTTTTTTGGACATTGGAGCACACTTGGGATTCTGAGGAAGTGTCGTGGTCACCCTCTCAACATGGCAGCCTGAGATAATGCATGAGATGAGTTGAAAGACAATCAACTTGACCAGCACATAGCAGTATTGAAATTTGAGCCCTCAAAGTCAACCCCACTCTCTCCAGACCTTCAAACTTCTTTTACCCAAGGTCAACAACCTCAAATGATTTCACTGCACCCTTCCCATAGCCAAGATCCAATCCTCTCAATCCTTCGCTTGTTTCTGGACAACCTCCCCACTCCAGAACATAAAAGTAGGGTTTATTCCCCTTGCTTCTCAGAATGAGAGTAATGGCTCATTTAGCAAGTGAGATGCAGAATGCGTATTGCATTTTATAGCTTTGGATGGATTTTGTAGGTACTCATTTTTTTTAACAATTACATTTTGTGTATGAAACTGCACAAGCACGCTTTGATCACACTGAGGTTCGATTTCGTATTGTATAAAAGCACTTGGCATCTTTAAAGGCATGCTGAATATGGCAATACTTGTTTCTGGAGCAGATTCTGTGGCTAAACTTCTGTCTTCCCCATGTTCCATAGGCTGCTTCTACTGCCTCACCGATTTATTTAATTTATTTGTTGGATTTATATAGCCACCCACCTCACCTACGTGACTCCAGGCAACTTACAATAAAATAGATAAACCAGATAAAATGCA